GAAGGACGGCACTGAATAAGTCAGTGCTGCTGTAACTTTCAGTGGTGGGAGACTCTTCAGGTTCATAGTTGTTTGTAGAAACACTGGTTGTAGGAACCTGATCTGTTTCAGAGGTGTGTGCATTTTCATCGGTATTTACAGAAACACTGGTTGTAGGAATCTCAGATGTTTCAGAGGGGTGTGGTTGTTCATCTCTGGAATTAGGTGTCAGTAAGAACCCATCAGGCTCCAAATAACATTCGTCAAGCACCTCAAAGCCGTCAGTATCTGAAGAATTTGTACGACTGAACACTGAGCGCCACATATTTGTAAACAAAGGAGATAGGGTTCAGTAGAGATCACGTTCATTAAGCTGCCCTTATTATTAACCTGCTGTTGTCGGGGAATGGCAACCCATACAGGAAAAGACCCGGGGTGTATCCGCCCTTGAGATTACGGCCCCGCTGTCTTACTCGCACCCAGCATCCAACCCGCCTAGCGACGGAGCGCCATCAAACAGCGGGCCCACGACGATCAACAAACGACGCTTTTTTAAAATGTATTTATTTTTTGTTTTAAAATTTTACAGCTTGCTCTCACATAGAAAGCTCAGGACTGGACGGCAGCGCTTGTCTAAAGAGCCACCATGTTAACGTGGAGTGAAAGTATACTGATCGGAGGTATTAAAGGTAACTGCTTTGTGTTTTTATTTCAGGAATGTAAGATTGCGGGAAGCCAAGTTAGCGTATAACACATCGGCTACTAGATATTAGCTAAATAAATAACGTTGGACTTTACGGTATGGTGCTTTAACCAAGTATTAATTTACTTGTTTGGCGTCCACTGTACAGTTACATGCAGTTCTGTACATATGTTTTTAATTAATTTACGACCCGACCGTCAACTCTGGCGGATGGGGCTGTGAGCACACATGGCCTGTATTTTTGGAAGAGCAATTTTGTTTTAGCCCACTGACATTTTTACACGTGTGTTAGCAGAGATATGAAAATGCGCAGGAAAATCTGACGTGCATGGCAAATTTCACCGAGCGATACTTAGGGAGGAATAAACACACATCAGCCTTCGACCATTTTGGATGAACGCTCAGGCCCCCTAGAGAGCGCCAACTTTATTAACAGCCACACACATGTAAATCACACATCAAACATAAATAAACCCTTTGGCTGTCTCCATAATTGAGAGCACTTTCTCTCTTCATGTCAACACCCCCACTTGCTCTTATATTATGATGCACTTAAGTAACAAAAAAAAAACAACACCCACACATATAGGGTTTCTTCCTCAGTACTGTATACATGTCCGTATACCATGTTAATGTCCAAACATAAACTTCTCAAACTTCAACAACTTAACTTTTGTCGTAGGTTATGTCATAACATCTGCTACCATCTCTTCTGTTGAACAATAATCCAGAGTTATTTTTCCTGCACTCACAGTTGACCTTACAAAGTGGTACTTTATGTCAACATGTTTACATCTCTCTCTCGTCACAGGATTCTTCGCCAACACAATTGCACCCTGATTATCTTCATAAACCTTTGGCGGTGCATATTTTTGTCCATCGATACCTTGTAACAGTTGCATTAGGTACAAAACCTCTTGTAGGGTTGCAGCTAAAGCCATGTACTCAGCTTCACAGGTAGATAATGCAACAGTAGGTTGCCTTTTGGTTTTCCATGTAATTAAAGGACCATCTACAGACAAGCTTATGCAATAACCAGTTGTACTCCGTCTGTCTTTTACATCAGCTGCCCAATCAGCATCACTGTATGCCCACAGCCTCAGTTCTTTGTTGTCACATTTCCTGTAACACAGTTCTTTCTCGGTTGTCCCTTTCAGATATCTCAGTACATGTTTTACTGTAGTCCATTGGTCTTCAGTTGGCTCAGTAAAATACTGTGAAAGTTTACTGACTATAAATCTCAAGTCTGGTCTTGTGCATGTAGCCAAATAGATCAGACTACCAACTGCTTCTCTGTACCTTTTGACATCACTCATCTTTTCTGCATCATCACCATAGTTCAGTTTTTGCTCACAAGGTGTCAGTCTTTCTTTACAATCCTGCATGTTGAACCTTTCAAGTATTTTTTCCACATATTGTTTTTGTGACATTTTTACACAGTTATCATCATATATTTCACCTTATAACCCTCAGGTTGTTCCATGAATACCTCACAATCTATTGGTGCGTGAAGATACACTTCACAATGCAAGACAGATTTATCTGTTTTCCCTTTTATTGCCATACCATCAACAACACCCTGTAATTTCTGAATGTCATCATAATGACAGTGCCCAAGAATTTCATGCCATGTTTGCATGTCATAGCTACCCTTACACTGGTCTTTACCTTCAGTGTTTACTGTTTGCAGGTAGTACAGTCTGTTGTATTCATATATTGGGAACCATGTGCCGTCTTTGTGTCGCAGAGTGTCTTTTCCTTGCTTGAAGATCACAGTTGCTTCCTTGGAGGTAGCTGCTTTTACAGAGAAGATGTCTTATGGATATGATGGAATGTACAGTGCCTGTTTCAAGGTCGTTTTGTGACACTGCCCCCTGCTGTCCATCAAGCAAAACTCTGCCTCCCCTCTTTGCTCTGCAACTCCAGTGCACTTAGTGCCGTCAGCCAACTCTACGTAGTGTGTCTTGGGTTGGAAGCTGTCGTCGAATTTTCTGAACTTCATAATATCTGCAACAACATGCAAAGTTGCCCCTGTGTCCACCATTAGACCCTTTTTGTTGACGCCATGCTCTGACTGGAACTCTGCATCCTCGCTGCTTATCCGTTGATATCATTAAAGTCACTGCTATCCATCCTCCTGCTGGTGAGGAGACGTACCTTTCGGGCCTTCAACACCTGTCATCCTGCTGGTGCTTCTGAGAGGAGCAACCAACTGCTGCCACAATCTCTGCTGGATGATTAAGTGTTTGGATCAAAGTACTCAGACACTTTACACATAGAGCTCTATATGGATACACTTTTGTTTGTTTGCTGGTCAGCTTCTCCAATTTAATTTTAAGGACTGTTTAGAGACATTTTCCTTGCAATTTGTTTTTAACATTATAGTTTTGTTCTCAATAACTGAAGTGGAATATGCATGTGGCCCAGGATTAAGCACAAATGGGTTGTAACGCATCATCAGTGGGAGTGTTGTAACTGATACAAACATTTCTTTCCATTTCAGTTCTATTCATAAGTTAAAGTGGGCAGAAATTCAGACTTCAACATATGAGCACACCCTGTTCTCAGCAAGATCCTTCCAAAGGTTAGTTGTTCAATATTCAACCTGTCTTTACTAGTACAATCTTTTTACAACCATAGATGGAGTGTTTTGTTGTTTTTGTTGTTGTTTTTAATAATCTGCTTTGTTAACAGGTTGGTACACATTGCCGAAATAGTGATTGATAAGCTCAGCATTTACAAAACAGTCATCATTGGCTTTTTGGAAGCTGAAGGCAATGTTGAAGGACTAACATAGAAAATGAAGGATCGCTTTGGCTGTGATGAGGCGATTACCCTGACAGACAGCCAAGGAAATGAAATACTATCTTAATTTCCCCTTGGGGATAAATAAAGTCTCTCTGACTCTGATACTGGACTTCACAAGAAGTAAGCTGTGTGATCAAAACCTGCTTAAGTTTTGCCATTAAAGTTATTCAATACTTTAAATAAATATATTAAATGCCCTTTCCTTAGGTTCCCATTAGTGGAAACAAGTCCAGAAAAATCTTTCCTGTCTCTCAAGATGACTTTGCGGAGTTCCAGGAGAAATGCTAAAGCAAGGTAATTTATGTAAAGTCAAAATCACGCTCTCTCTCTCTTCCTCTTACGCTACACACATGCATAAAGTTCAAAAATACATTAAG